CACACACACACACACACACACACACACACACACACACACACACGCTCTACCTGACAGCACACACTCAGGTGTGTCCTCATGCAGCTAGTCGAGTGTCTCTGCTGCGTGTTAACGTGTGTGTGCACCTATCGTATGATTTATTTTAGGATAGGAAAAGTGGTAGAGCAGAGCCCGAGCCCAAACTGAAAACCTCTTTTAGGTCCATCACCTCGACCTCCGACCTCAAACGCCGTAGGGCCTCCGGGGACGCCACGGTAAGGAGATGAAGACCACCAACCCTCCTCCCTCCTGTCCTCCACGTGTCTTCTGCTTCACTCCATCTTTTATCTGTTTGTCTTTCTTTTCTCTGCTCTCGCTCGTCTGTAATCGCCTCCTGTTTGTCTTCGGTTCGTCACGTGTGTCTCTCGCCCTCTCGTCTCATCTCCAGCTCCATCATCTCCTTGCTGACTCATCATGGCCGCCCGTCTGTCGGTCAGCCATCATTGCTTTCCCACCTCCATCAGCTCATCTGTCCCACTGAGACAGACAAAAGGCGACAGACTGAAGACAGAAAGAAACGTCCGGTTCGGTCCGCCCAGGCAGGTCAGGGTCCGCTTGTTGGGTTTTCACACGGTTCACATCGTCCTCTTGCAAAGGAGAAGTGAAGAGGGTCAGATTGTGTGGTCTTTCTTCTCCCGTCTTTGTCCTGTCTTTTGATCTGTCCTTTGTCCTGTCCTTTGTCATGTCCTTTGTCCTGTCCTTTGTCATCTCCTTTGTCATTTCTTTTGTCCTGTCCTTTGTCATGTCCTTTGTCCTGTCCTTTGTCATGTCCTTTGTCATGTTTGTCATGTCCTTTGTCATGTCCTTTGTCATGTCCTTTGTCCTGTCCTTTGTCCTGTCCTTTGTCCTGTCCTTTGTCATGTTTGTCATGTCCTTTGTCCTGTCCTTTGTCCTGTCCTTTGTCCTGTCCTTTGTCCTGTCCTTTGTCATGTCCTTTTTCATGTCGTTCGTCCTGTCCTTTGTCCTGTCCTTCATCCTGTCCTTCATCCTGTCCTTCGTCCTGTCCATTGTCGTGTCTTTGTCATGTCCTTTGTCCTGTCCTTTGTCCTGTTCTTCGTCCTGTCCTTCGTCCTGTCCTTCGTCCTGTCCTTCGTCCTGTCCATTGTCCTGTCCATTGTCCTGTCCTTTGTCCTGTCCTTCATCCTGTCCTTCGTCCTGTCCTTTGTCCTGTCCTTTGTCCTGTCATTTGTCCTGTCCTTTTTCATGTCGTTCGTCCTGTCCTTTGTCCTGTCCTTCATCCTGTCCTTCATCCTGTCCTTCATCCTGTCCTTTGTCCTGTCCATTGTCGTGTCTTTGTCATGTCCTTTGTCCTGTCCTTTGTCCTGTTCTTCATCCTGTCCTTCGTCCTGTCCTTCGTCCTGTCCATTGTCCTGTCCATTGTCCTGT